AATTGAAAATTTAAATACCTTTTATAAAAATATATATATTGTTATATATTTAGTATGACAGTTTTTATTTGTACGACTTACATATGTTATATTATCATAATTTTTTTCACTTACAACATATAACTACATTGAACATAAATATATCAATTAATAAATAATTTTATTTTTCTATAAATTATTATTTTTATTATTATAAAGATAAATATAATTTATTTATTTCATATATACAATATGGATGTCAAATCTAAGATCATCAAAAGTTGATTAATTTGGTATATTATATATGTAAAACCGATAAGAAATACAAAAGTTATCAAATTTTAAAATAAATTTACAATTCAGTAGCTAATTGTGGAAGCAAATCAAAAGTCAGGGATATATTAGTCATTTAGTGTCTCACTATGTAAAATTACAAAGAATTAAAGGGTTATATTAGTAAAAGTGATATTAAAATACCTAAGTTAACTAAATAATATTTATGGAATGTCCAAACCTAGATTATTATTAATTATTAATATATCAATATTATTTGTGCAAACCTAACTACGACGCATAATTCTTCGCCAAGTAGGATTTCGAAGCACCAGAAGCAGCCACATAGGCTCAGCGCATTCGGAAATTATATATAGGGAGGATTAAATTATATACTTGCGGCATATTAATTGTCTCCACCGTCCGTATCTACATAATCATAGAGGGATCCACCTCTTCCTGATTTTTTTTTTGTTTAATATCATTATATATATATACATATAAAAAGAAAACACTATTAAAAATATAGACAAAAATGAAAAAAAAAATATTTACGATGTATAAATAATTAAAAGTTAGTTTCTATGCTATTTTGATTTAAATTAATAATATTATTTAGTTTTTAAAAAATATATTAACGATCCTAATATTTTATATTTTTAGGTAACTTTTTTAAAAATATTTATTATGATTTACTCTTTCGGCCTCTTAATTGTAAATCGATTAAGTGATTTATAAAATCGAGTATTTAGTTAGATTATTAGATTTTTTTAATTTTTTTTACTTTACTTTTTTGTGTAATTACATATATTTTATTTTATTTTATTTTTCTTAAAAAATTGGTCATTTGATAAGCTCTCATCAACAAAAATGCGATACAACATTTTGTAAAATTTCAATTTAAATCAAATTTTCAATCAAAAAAACTTATTTTCCCATAGCTTATAAATTTTGAACTTAAATTATCGACTCTATATATAATTCTCGAATGCGCTGAGCTTAAGTGGCAGACTCGTGTACTTCGTAAGCTTCTTTGGCATAAATTGGTGCTTCGTATTCACACATGTTCAGGTTTGATTTTAACTATTAGGCTTGAGAATTACCATAAACTATTTCAGCTTTCATTTTTTCTTAAATTACTATATAATACTCTTACATTTTTATTACTTCATATATTAGTTATTATAAATATGTATTATTTTAATTTTTAAAACTCTATAATTTTTTTGTTTGTATTTTTTTTATAATATATGACCTACCAAAATAATCATATTTTAATCATCTTCCATTTGACATCCATATTGCACATATAAAATAAAAAATAATTTCATCCATATTTATAAATAAAATCAATTTTATTATCACCTCAATTTAAAAATACATATTAACAATATAAATAATTATATAAAAATAATAAAAATCTAATTCATTAATACACCATAAAATAAATTATTTTATTGTTTTTTCATAAATTTTGGATAAAATTACATAAAATAAATTTTAAGAAATATTATAATATTTCTCAATTCAAAAAGATTATATAAAACATTGAATGTTATTATGTTATATAAAATAGTAAATATAAAAGAATATCATTATTATATATAAAAAATACGTTTCTATGTAAATTCTAAATTATATGACATTAAAATACTTGAAAATCATTAATGTGAGACACTGCATAAATATATATAATCACAATACAATAAATTGTTTTTTTGTTAAAAAAAAACGAATCAAATATATGATGTTGTAAATAATCATATATAATCTTAAAAATATAATTAAAAATACCTTTGTTTGGCAAATTTAGAGCAAAAATGCGGGCACCATTAGAATTGATTATGACTTTACTAGTTATTTGTTATTTTTGCATATTCATCATATATAATTTTACAATAAACATGTAAATTATCTAATTTTATTTTAAAAATATTAATATATTTAAGTATCCGTGTAGTACACGGGTATTGTACTAGTACATATATATATACTCTCATTTTTTTTTTATTTTGTAAAAGTTTGAGGGTGATATAGATTCGAAGTTTTTAAAACTTGATGGTACACATCGATATTTATGTTTATAAACATATTTTTATATGAAATAAGTGCTTCGACTTAAACTACAAGCTCGTTATTTAGTATTTAAAAATGGGCCACTGAATAAAATTCCTAGATCCGTCACTTGTATATAATATAGAATTATTTAACAACTAGAACAATACATGTGTACTACACGGGTAATTAAATATATTAATATCAATATTTGTATAAATAAAATTAAAATAATAAATATTTTTATTGTTAAATTATGCATGATGAATATGCAAGAATAATAACTAACATAATGATAATTAATTCAAATCGTGCCCCTATTTTTACACTAAATTTTTCAATAAAATACATTTTTTAATTATATTTTCAAAATTTTATATGTATAAAACTGATATTATTTACAACTCCATATATTTGATTTTTTTTTTTTACAAAAAACAAGTTTAATTGTATTTTTATTATATTTTATATTTATAGAGTCAGTGTCTCACGTTTATTAATTTTTCAAGTATCTTAAAATCATATAATTTATAATTTACGTCGAAATATATTATTTTTTAACTTTATGAAATACAAAATTGCTAGTATGTACCCGTGCGATGCACGGAACAGAGATATTAAATGAGTTATTTTGACGGACTTTGTCCGTTTAAGTTTAAAAAGCAATAGAGATCATCCATTTCCACATCTTTTAATCAGTGTTAAGTCTAAAAAACAGTAAGAGTTATAATCTATTTTCCACCTCTTTTTACTAGCGTTGTTTTTTTAGTCATAACATTAAATGCGAGCATATTAGGGCTAACTTGTATAGTAATTAATTATTATCTCACTAACACATTTATAAAAATATAAATTTGATTTTAGTATATATATATATTCCTTGATATAAGAGAAAATAATAGTTTTTACTTATTCTGATTCAATATAATTGTTAATTATTATTTTATTATAAAATTTGTTGTCGTATAATGTCATTATGATTTATAAAAGTTATAGAAGTTATACGTCTTCTTGTTCTTTTTTATTTTATGTAATGAAAAATATTTAATGTACGTTGGTATTATTTATTTATGTAATAAAGATTTTTCTAATTTGCATTATAAGTATTTATAGTTTACTTAGGAAACTCTACAACGAAAATATATTTTACAAGAATTTCATTATAGAAAGAAATTAAAATAAAAAATAACAAAAAATATAATCAGGGTTGCCAATAATAGACAAATAAATTCTAAAGAACAATTAATATATTTCATTTTTAACTGTTGACCATTAATAAAATTATTTAATGTATATGGTCATTTCTCTTAAATGGTAATTATATTAAAATGAAGAATAAATTATTTTTTATACATAACGAAATAAAGTTTAAGTAAAAATTGTATTGGCAAAAAAAGTGAATATTTGTGAAAAAGAAATGTAATATTTATCTTGACCAAAATATTATCAACATCCCCCCTATATATTAATACAGAATGCGCTGAGCCTACGTAGCTGTTTCTGGTGCTTCGGAATCCTATGTGACAAAATTACATGCTTCGTTATTAGGCTTGGGTAATTTTTAATTGAATTCCAAACAAAAAATAATTAGGTTCGGATTACCATAAATATGTTGATTATTTATGGTCCTGTTACATGTATTAATTGTATTTTAATATCATTCTTTATTATAACTATTGAACTGTATATATATTTTAGAAGTTAATAACTTTTGTATTTTTTATCAGTTTTATATATGTAATATATCAAATTAATCTTCTTTTGATGAGCTTCGATTTAACATCCATATTGTATGTATAAAAAAAAATAATTTATATTTATCTTTATAACAATAATAAAATTATTTTTAATATTAATTAGAAAAATAAAATTATTTATCAACTAATATATTTATATTTCAAGTAGTTATATGATATAAGTTATAA